CATGAACCGGAGCGGTTGTATGAAAATGAAAAAATAAATAAATAAAAAATTTAAACACGGAAATATATGCTCCTTATACAAAAGCAGACAGATTCCTAAATAATGTAACATCAACCTGTTAGAAAACACGTCTGCTTTTTCTCCCTCCGTTTCGTTTTGTCTAGATCTCGTCCTGTGATCCACTGCAAACATGATGAATGGAAAACGAATGCAGAGCAAGCGAACTCTTCGGGGATAAGAGCTTGTTGTCAGCCCCTGTGGGCTAGTCTCATCGAACCTGGGTGTCTTCTCGGATTGTTATTAGCTACCCACATTGTCCTCTTGCACTGCGAGGCGTCTCTGGAGGGTTTACGTCTGCGAAGATAAGCTCTCCGGGGATCGGCGTTCTCACAGTTTCAAGGCGTCTGCAGTTTATATATTTTATTGAGCATTTTCCTGCTTTCTGACTTGCAAAAACGGCTTACTCATAGTAGAAAGCCAACCGCAGTATGGTGTGTGTTTGATTAGTTCATACATACTGCACTATGTGAACAGACGTGGTCGCCTTCTGTTAAAATTGTTTGCACTACTGACGCTTAACTCAACACTGAATGTGGGATTTTAAACCATTAAAAAGAATCAACTGAGAGGGATTTTTACCATGACTGCGAATGAAACTACTAGAACAGTATGAATATGTTCGAACATGCAAGTTTGAAACACCGCCATGACAACTTGCCATGCCAAACAGCTAGTAAACTGTTCACTAACTGCTAGAAAAGTAGTTCACATGTGTCACGGATCATTCTGTAGCGAAACTTGTTGAAATATAAAGTTACAATAATTAAAAAAACAACAACATTTTTTGTTAATCGTTAATTTCAGCTAATATCTGCAGTTTCTGTACTGAAAGGTTTGCGATTATTTTGTCATCCTCCAATAATCTGCATAATGGATATGCACTAAAGTCGCTGCTTGCATAGGTATTAATCGTATAATGCACTAACCGGTCGCGCCGCAGTACCTGGGAGAACTTTTGGGCTTGTATGATCCGCCACGCCTACGTTGATCAAAAGGTGCAGGCTCTTTGTTGGTACCTGGAACAGTGAAGGCTACAGCAGGGGGGAGAGCGTTCTCTTACAAAGCCCCACAGTTATGGAACAGTCTTCCTATTAGTGCTGGGGACTCGGACATAGTCTCAGTGTTTAAGTCCAGGTTGAAAACATATTTGTTTACTCAAGCCTATTGTGAATAGTTTGTTTTTCTGATGTAAAGGAGCAGATCTAGAGGGTTCACAGGCATAGAGTGTTGTGGTGAGCTGGAACATTTGGATACTGTCGACCCCACCACTCTCACACGCTCACTCAGGTGAGTTGATCTTGGAGTAGCCGGCCGCTTAATATCCCAGGTGTCCCTCATGTCTGTGGTATCTTCTGGCGGTCATATTTAGTCTTGCCGGAGTCGCTGTTTGCACTCGGCACACAATGTACATTGTCTTTACATGACATTATGTAGCATATCTAATAATCTTCTCTCTCTCTCTCTCTCTCTCTCTCTCTCTCTCTCTCTCTTTCTCTCTCTCTCTCTCTCTCTCTCTCTCTCCTCTCTCTCTCTCTCTCTCTCTCTCTCTCTCTCTCTCTCTCTCTCTCTCTCTCTCCTCTCTCTCCCCCCCTCTCCCTCTCTCTCTCTCTCTCTCTCTCTCTCTCTCTCTCTCTCTCTCTCTCTCCTCTCTCCCCTCTCTCTCTCTCTTTCTCTCTCTCTCTCTCTCTCTCTCTCTCTCCCTCTCTCTCTCTCTCTCTCTCTCTCTCCCTCTCTCTCTCTCTCTCTCCCTCTCTCTCTCTCTCTCTCCCTCTCTCTCTCTCTCTCTCTCTCTCTCTCTCTCTCTCTCTCTCTCTCTCTCTCTCTCTCCCTCTCTCTCTCTCTCTCTCTCTCCTCTCTCTCTCTCTCTCTCTCTCTCTTTCTCTCTCTCTCTCTCTCTCTCTCTCCCTCTCTCTCTCTCTCTCTCTCTCTCTCTCTCTCTCTCTCTCTCTCTCTCTCTCTCTCTCTCTCTCTCTCTCTCCCTCTCTCTCTCTCTCTGTCTCTCTCTGGAGCTTCACATGCTCCTCCTGACCCCTTCTGCTCTCCGGAACTGCCTGATCCATCCTGATGCCCTACTTCTGGTTGGAGTTCTCATCACTTGGAAAAGATACATGAGATTACTGTGGATGGTACCCACTTAAAACCCCCGAAGATGGTTTAGGATTGGCTTACAATTGCTATGATAGCTTTAGGACTGCAATGGCCATGAACCGTTTTACACTCAAGTCTCCATCAGTGAACAGTTGATATACTGATATAGTTGAACACTATAATGAATTTCCCGGTTACACAATTGTAAACGCACAGTTAAAGAAGGGAATTATTTATAATACTATCCGGTGTCACCCAGACGAAGATGGGTTCCCATTTTTTGGTCTGGTTCCTCTGACGGTTTCTTCCTCATATCATCTCAGGACATTTTTCCTTGCCACTGTCACCTCCGGCTGCTCGTTACGGATACATTTATACATGTCAGATTTATATCCTGAATGTACAGTATATATTTCTGTAAAGCTGCGTTGTAACGACGTCCGTTGTTAAAAAAAAAAAAAAAGACGGGACAAAACATATGCGTTTAAACTGGATTGCAAGTAATGCCTTTATTATAAAAAAAATAAAATAAAATGAATTAATAAATAATAACTATAATCTGCAACAAAGCGGCTGGTTAGAAGATGGTAAAATGAAATAGAGATTTAAAAAGAAATAAAGAATATTGCCACCATGTATACTAAGAGAAGCTATTTGCATTGCCTGAGACATGCTAATACCAACGCAGAGGCATGATCTGGGTGAAATGTTGCGCAAGGGCAATGGTGAGATGGTATGATTGATGTACAGTAAGTCTAAAGTTGATCGTTTGTCCGAGACAGTGTCATTCCCCTGGTGTCACGACTCACAAAACTTTTTTTTTCCTGACGCAACCAGCTAATCATTCTTGCAGTGAAGCTGCCGAGTTACATAGGAATTTTTCTATGTCTACTTAAATCAGCGTTCAGGGCTGCTATCTTAGCAGTTTATTGAAATGGCTTTATATGTGTGCCATATGGTCATTTATAAATGTTACAGCTGGTCCTATATTTTGGCCATCTGCAGTATTAGTTGTGTGACATTAAAAGACTTCTCCATATGTTTAGATTTATTCATTTTGGCAAAGCAGCCCCAGCCCAGCGCTGAGCAAGTGGTGGTGTAGGGGGGTGGGGGTGGTAAGGGTCTGTCTTGCTCAAGAGCCCGACAGTGGGATTTGACCTCACAGCCTGCTTATCCAACCAATCAATAATAACAACCAACAATCACCGAATTCATCCAAGAAGATGCTAAGTGTAACTCTAAAGAAGCTGGAGATATCCAGAGTTAAGACGAGAGAAACTGTTGGAAAACCATAGCCTGAACTTTTCAAACAGCTAGTCTTTCTGGAAGAGTGGTGAGCCAGATTACGGTAAATCCCATTTTTTTGCAGAAAGACTTCTTAGAGGATTTGTTTCTGGTTTGAAGAAATCAACATTGAACTTTTTGGATTCGACCCAAAGCTCTATGTTTGCTGGAATCCCAACACTATTTATCAACCTGCGAACACAGTCACCACAGTGAAGCATGGTGGTAGCAGCAACACGTTGTGGGGACGCTTTTCATCACCAGCGGAGAATGGGAAACTGGTCAGGGGTTGATGGTAAGATGAATGGAGCCGAATGCAGGGAATTTCGTAGAATAAAAGCTTGAGACTTGGAATGGAGGGTCATTTTCCAACAGGATAACAGCCCTAGCCTTACTGCCAAACCTACCCTGTTGCAGGTTCACCGTTTGGTCCGTCCTGCATACTGAGAAAACCCCACAAGACCTGCTGTTTTGGAGATGCTCTGACACAGTTGTCTAGCCATCACAATTAGACCCTTGCCAAAGTCTCTCAGATAGTCACGCCTGCCCATATTTCATAATTCTAAGACATCCCCTTCGAGAACCGACCTACACTGGAGTTCAAAACCAGTTCAAAAACCAAGAAGACCACAGACTGATCAATTTAGATTGATTGCGACATATCCCAAAAGTCTTGCAGCCAAAATATGTGAATACCAAGTATTGACCCATGGGGCTGAATACTTATGTCCCCGATAAAGATCTCTCTCTTTTTTTTTCTTTTTACAGAATAGTTTCTCTCACAGTAGAGTGAGGAATAATATGTAAATCAATATATTAAGCCAATTTCAATTCCAGGTGGAAAAGTTCAAGGCGAAATACTTTTGCAAGGCACTGTATATCCAAGACGCATCTGTTTGGGATTGGATGATGGGATTCAAACCCTTGCACGAGGAGCACAATGGATTAGCAGATCATCACCGGAACCTCTGAGCCATCTCGTCATAGTCGCATAGCGGCTTTGGAGAAACCTGGCTCTAAGTCCCTAATGAGGCAACCAAGGGTGACAAAAGGAAAGAAAAACTCTCTGAGATGGTAGGAAGAAGAAACCTCAAGAGAGGAGCCAAGGCTCAAAATGGAAACCCGTCTTGTTCTGCACCAGTGAGTGGGATTACGCAAAGGAATCTATCCCTCTTGGTTATATTACAGAAATGTTGAGAATTTCAAGTCCTGCTTGAATTATTGTAGTGCTGTGAGAAAAAGTCAAGTATAGATATGTACAGGATGTTAAAGTTGTAAGAACAAGGCAGTAGGACTGAACCTTACCGTGTATTCTTTCTGTAATATAACCACTAGATCTCATAGGGGGGTCGCGGGGAACCTGGATTCTATCCAGGGAGCATCGAGGCACAAGGCGGGGTTACACCCTGGACAGGGTGCCAATCCATCGCAGGGCACAATCACACACACACTCACACACTCACACACCCGTTCATACACTACGGACACGTTATGTCCAATGCATGTCTTTGGACTGTGGGAGGAAACTGGAGAACCCGGAGGAAACCCCGGCAGCACGGGGAGAACATGCACACTCTGGGGATTTGAACCCCCAAACCCTGGCGGTGTGAAGCGAATGTGCTAACCACTAAACCACTCTGCGCCCTATATGTATACATGTTAGAATTATTGTTAGATTTCCATGTATCTCAGGAATCTCAGATTATGCCTGTCAGATCGTCCGTCATGCCTTCCAGCCTGTTTTACCATCAACTTCTATTCATTTTTTAGTAAGAGGAGCGTTCAGGCCTGGGAGGTCTAAAATGAACACGCAATTTATTATTTTACAATAAATAAATAAAATAGTATATTTTTATTTTATGTAACCGTCTCTTTTATTCATTTGAAATGAGAAATAAATTGAATAAAGCAGGACTCTTCTTGAGCTTTGAAGGTGAAGTGGTAGGAAATACTGGAACAGCTGATCTCATCGCTCATCTAAACCACAACCACAACTTTTCATGCACTTTGCCTTTTGTGTCTCGTTATGAGTTTGCATTTGAGAGCGTGTGTTCGTGTGGAAACTCCATTTTGTTCAGCAACATTAAACTGTGTCAACATTTTTACCGTCCCCTGCGCACAAGCTCGTGGTATTTGGCGCGCTCGCTCTGGCGATAGAGTTCAAAGCAGGGATGATCTGTTATTTACGAGACTAATAGCGCATTCCTCTATTATTTAATTTGATCATTAATATCTATAGCTAAGTGTAGAGGAAGAGCCGTGAAGCATTTTTGATAACATCTGGACAGAGTTGTCTTTCCAAACGAGGTCAGCAGAGACTCCAAGTTTATGAGTCCTCGGTCTCTATCTGTAGTCTCTCTCTCTCGCTCTCTCTCTCTCTCTCCTGTCTGACGGATGGATTGTTTCTCTGCAGATTTATCTCCATCATGTTCGGCGAAGGCAGCAGCTCAAAGTGCCGCTTCTCTGGAACAAATGGGATCAGAGGGACGCACACTATCTGCTGTGCTATCTGAGGGGCTTAGCCTCCTTGACCTTCAGTCTGGGTGGCTTTTCTAAGTCCACAGAACCTCAGCAGACATGTAGAGAACACCTAATTGGCGTCGGAGAACATGGTGCAGGAGCTCACAGGGCTTTAGGTGGTATTATTGAGCCAAACAGCATTAAGACTTCCTCACTGCTGTGGACAATTAAGCACTGAAACCTGGAGTGGAGGTGAGATGAAACACTGCGTGCTCACTCGAGGTTGATTGCCTCTTCGTTTTAAGTAAGCTTCACATCAACATCTGGAGCTGATAGCTGGAGAATTTCGCGACGTCGTGTCTTTGTGAGAGCTCTCGCGAGTTTGCCGCAGCCGACTATCCCTCCGCTTCACGCCTAATGCAAGTCTAACGTCAAATGAACTGAAAAAAAGGCGCTGACATTTTTCACACAGCTGGAGGATTTGAATAATTGAGGCGCTAATACGACAAGTTGAGAAGGCGGGCAGGTGAGGCTCGCACTGTTTCAAACACCGTTCTTTTCAGAAGCAATCAACTTTCCACTTACTGGAAAAATCACATACAGGTTCTTTTTTTTTTTCTTTTCTCTCCCCCTCCAGGTTTTCCCATGTTATGCCTTTAAACAGAAATAAACACGTGTGAAGGACGTGCGATCACGCGACGATGTGACAGCCGAGAAATGCAACCACTTAGTCTACATGTGAAAAAACGAATAAATTGTCTAAAATCCCAAATGAAAATAAACGAATCAATCAATATACTACAAATCAATCGTCTTGTCCTTTTATACATTTTGGAGGGACGTCCTGTTCTCGGTGATGTCAGTGTAGTGCTCCATTTTCTCCACTTGTTCATGATGGCGCTCACGGTGTTCCGCGGTACATCGGATGTTTTGGAAATTCTTTTATACCCCTCTCCTGATCGATTCCTTTTGAGAGACAGGCTTTGTAAGCTCTTTGTGGACACGGCTATCGCAGTCGGAATAAAACCGAGAAGATGTGAGGAAAATCCTCCCGAAACAACTGCACCTTTGTTTGGAGTTAGACTTTTTATATCCATTGTATCTAAATGATCTAACCAAACGCTGTGCTATTAACAGACGTACCGGAGTCATGCGGCCGCTAACATACGTTTAGGGACGCTGTATTCTCACAGGAGCTTTTCCGGTTCGTTTTCCGGCTGTTCTTCTGACATTTCAGCTGAAAGTATCTCGTACCGAATGCCTTTTGCATCACAGCAAATGCGTCTTTACCATCAGGGCCAGAAAACGGCACACGTATACGCTCATATGCCCAGCACCGCACGTCAGCAGATGGCTGATAGCATTTGCTGCGTGCGCTTTTTTTCCCCCCCTCTTCTTCGTCGCACCAAACAGCGAGCCACATCTGGCCCAGGCTCCTTCCGCAAACTGCCAACAGATGCATGTACACATATATCTGTCAATCAGGAAACTGTCGCACGTCGTAAAAGCAACGTTTAACCACATGGTAGTCTGAGAACTCTTTTGGATAAAGGACAGTGTGACGGAAACCCAGGGAACATGTTCGAGCGAGGGGGAGAAATGATGCCTACTGATGACTGACAGGCTTGTGGAGCCCCTGCAGGCACAACACCGATACGTGCTTAGAACCTCCGAAGAAAATCCGCACTCGGGAGCTGGCGCGTGTTTCTGTCCGCCTGTCACGCGCGCCGAAATCCGTTCACCCCCATTACACTTCTCTCCTTCTGACTGCCGTGAATCAGTTCACTGAAAGCATCGTTTACATCACCAGTTCAGACTGTTTCAGCCATGTGATGGAAATAAACGAATCGTACGTTATGTGAAACAATATTCACGTTGTTTTCAGACACACCAGACGTTATGTTTCACACGTTCTTCACGTGGAGTGGACTTTCTGCATGTATCGCATGCATTTTTATTTCCACATGTGATATGTATATATATATATATATTATATATACACGACTCATTTATTTTCACGTATTGTTTTACATGAGTCGTTTATTTTCGCACGTGATCGTTCACGATTCCTTTCTTTTGACATGCGATTTTACACAATTCACCGATTGTCACGTTTGATTTTCCTCCACGCGATTCATTTTACACGTGCGATTTTCACACGGTTGCCTTGTGCTTCTTTTTCAAGCAACATTTTCAACACGGAATTTTCACACGAACGATTTATCACCGCGAGTCGTTTTCGTCGTCTCCCGTGATTCACGTATTTTCTCCCACGACGCTGACACAGAATTCATTTGACACGATTCGTTTATTTTCACCGGTAGGACGAAGGGTTGTTATTTTCTCGCGTGATTCATTTTTTTTCCCCCTCAAACGAGGTCACATTGCTCGCACGTGTTTACTTGAGGTCACGTGCGATTCCAGGCTCATGGTGAACTGCCCGTTCACATTCTTGTCTCACGTGATCACGCGTATGCACGTGAAACGGATGAATCGTTCGTGATGCATGTGGAATGAATCGTGTGGAAAAAGCGTTCATTAACTGCAAAAAAAAGAGAGAGTGAAAATAAATAAATCCATTTTTACAAAACCACGGTGACGTAGCAAATAACGTGAGACGCGTCTACAAACCGCATGTGTCAATCCTACGTGAAGTTCACGTGACGTTTCTGTAAAGGCATCACGTACAGTAGATAAACGTTCTCCGCCTTAAGTAAACGTCTCCAGACGTCTTAATTAGCGAATACAATCGCCGGCCCCGACGTGCCTTTCAGGCGGCAATGAGTCGCGTTGAAAAGGGAAAAGGGGATGGACTTGCATGCGTGCAGGTTGCATGTACATTAAGCCAAACGTGCTCGACCCTTCCCTTGAACTTGCTTTGGCGATACAAATCTACGGTTGTTTGTCATTCCAATAAAGCACGTGAAGACCGAAATCTGCGAGAGCTGGAAGATATTGACACAGACAAATTCTCGCTCTTCTATCAGCCATGACGCTGGAGCCATCCTTTAAGCTCCCGTGAAAGAGTTATAAAAATGTGCTGTCATTAATTGCCCGAATGGTGGAGAGGTATTGACGCGTAGAAAAAGGCTGGAGCGGAGAAATATGTGTCTGCCAGTGCATGTTTGCGTATGTGTGTGTGTGTGTGTGTGTGTGTGTGTGTGTGTGTGATGATAGGGATCTAGGAGGCCGACGTTTAGAGCTTTGCTCTCCGTCATGCCAGTGATGTAGAGCTGAGCTCACAAAGCCGTTATCTCCAAACCTCAGCCCGCGTTCTGCTGGCGTCTCGCCTCGCGGAGCTCAAACACGGCGACGACGATCACGTTCGGCCGCGTTGACTAAATGGCATTTTCCTTCCAGCTAGATTACACTGGTAACACGATAACACTCCATCTAAGTGATATCCAGTCAATCCGAGTTGGCAGTAATTAAGAGCGGTTCCGATTAGCCGCGTGCGTTCGCTCGTGCGCGACCGCGGAACTTCCTCCTTGGCACTGGAGCGTGACGTCGAAGAGAGACAGAAATTAATCTCTCGCTCTGACTGATCCACAACCCTTTTGAGTGACAAACGACTCGAGGTTGGAGTGAAAATGATATTCGCAGCGCGTAGCGACAGACCCGCAGAGACCAGACTGGAGAAGGAAAACAATATATTAAATCGGTTTTTTTTTTGTTTTGTTTTTTAAATCGGACTCAAGCACTTTGGCATGAGGAATATTTCCTCGGATGACGTGTAAATGCCTCAGGACCTTGTACACGGAAGCGGCAACAGATCATGCTATCATGCTCCAACCTCCGGACACCACGGTGGTGTTCTTGGGTTGGGATTGTACGCGCAACTCTTCTTTCTCCAAACACAGCAAGCTGAATTATCGCCAAAGCGTTCGATTTCTCTTGCATTTGGCTGTTCCCGAAAAAAAAAAGAGTTCTGATTGGTCTAAATCGCGTCAGACACACATCTCTGTGCTTCTGTTTCTAGCATGGCTAACAGTCCTCTGTAGAACGATTGTTCCTGCTGCTTTCAGGTCATCCTGCAACTCTATTCCAGTGACTCTCTTACCTTCCGGCGGCTCTCTTCCTGTTTCTCTCTGCTTATCATTCGCCTGAGAGTCTGAGAGAATTTGGCTTGCCGCACCTGTCCAGGGACGATGAGTTGTACTTCACGCTAGCATATTACTGAAC